CTCCGAACTGCACAGTAAATTGAAGGTTGTGAGGGACAGACACCTGTTCAAACCACATTGAAATTAGAGGGAGGAGATCAATAGCAGAGACCAGCCTGGGTAAAATACATTTTGGAAGACAAAATCCTCGTGTGGTCCCAGAGAGTCAATTCCAGCATCCTGTGAGGGGACTGTGGCAGGAGCTGCTGTTGAGATGGGCAGTTGCCTTTGGGTTCACAGCTGCAGAAAACACTGCCCAGAGAGGGAAGGCAGTGAAATGGCACAAACCCAACAGGAGCTTCTAAAGCTGATGTCAGCTTAGGGCTTAGGAATTTTATATGGAGACTCAGAGCAGGGCAGGTAGAGATGCCCTTGCTGTCTAGAAAACCTCTACTGGCTCCTGGGACTTGGGTGCCTGGGAAGCTGAAGAAGCTCCCAGCACAGTGACCTCACATATGCCATAGATCCCTGAATGGCTGCTGCCACCTCCATCTCCCCTTCTCTGCACTGCTGGGTGTTGGGGGCTTGGAGATGATGTGCTGGGATAGAAGGCAGGGGTGAGAATATTTTTTTGGATCATGGCGGGAGGAGGAGTAGGAAGATGACTTTATAATTGGTTTTTTATCACTCTTTCTGGCTATATTGACTTTATACTTGACACAGCTTTGGCTGGCAAGTAAGGCCCAGATACATTCAGAATTAGATATGACTGGGCTCATTCTTACATGAGAAGAAAATCATCGGTTGCTACAGAAACAGCTCCATATCAGTCTCGTGGGGCATCTTTGCATCTGGCTTTTTTTCCTTCTCTTTTGCTAATCTGTAGATAAGAGTCAAAGCAAGTGCAGCACATCCCACATCTCTATAAAAGGTTGGAAGAACTCTGCAGAGAGCAAAGTGTGAAAGAACATCTCATAGATAAGCTAAACTTAAATGAATGAGTTAATTTACACTCCCCCTGCATTTTTTTTCAAGTTTTGCAACTCTCTCTAAGTTAAATGAGGTGAAAATTAAATGACACCAGTCAGCAAATATTTTAAAGACCACCAAAATCAAGGAAGAGAAAGGAGGCACTCGGAAAAGGAGTTACTAAGAAACAGGAAAAAAACTGAGGGGTGAGTTAGAATCTATGTCGAGAAAATTGCATCTTGCAATGGAATAATAATCCAGGCTGACTTTCAAGCAAGTTGTTTAACTTGATAAATTAAGGAATTAGCTAAAAATAAGTGTATATTATGGGTGAACAGGGACCATTCTGCACACTTCAGACCAGCTCACCAGCGACGTTCTTCAACTGGTTTTCTAAAACATAATGAATTCTTGATGCTTAGTAGATTAATATTTATTGAGTGAATCAATGCTTAATTTATTAAAAAATTGCCTTCCTTGTATTTTAATATGATTTATTACTCATCAGTGCTTATTGCATTAATTAAAGATTGTGTTAATTTTGTGGAAGTGAACACGATCTGCTGCAGGTTTGCTGTGCTGTGGGGACTGTGCCTCTGGGTAGTGCCAACCATGGAAACTGCTGGAGGTGGGAAGCTGGGATGAGTCACCTCTTCCTGCCCTTGGGATTTCAGATAGCCAGCAGAGTGGAAAAGAGGATGCTGCCCCTCAAGGGTAGGACAGGATTATAGCAATAGCAATACTGTGATGATACAGGGAACATTTCTGTTTGCCTCTTTCAGATTATGGCTGATGCTGTGGAATTCATTTTGGTGTTTCTTATGGAATGTCTTTTTGTCAACGTAGGTGAAATCCAGCCTTAGAGACATGGGAAACTGTCACCTCTTTCCCAACCAGGAACGACAGTCATTGTGTTTCAGTGCTCAAACTGTAAGAAATTCTTGGGACAGTAGGTTGCCTGGAGATTGGGATGGTCCCAAGCATCTCAGCAGGGGCAGGTGTTTGAGAAGTGGAAAATTCCTAAAGGCAGAACAAAAAAACCCAGACATCTTGTGAGCTGAGTCTTTCAAGAAATCTGTCAAAACAGGGAGAGGGTGATCCTGCTGGAGGGGGGCCACAGCTGCAATTTGCATCTCTCAGCACTGAAGAAAGAAGTGAATATATAAAGCCCCACAGCCATGATACTTCTGGTGAAATTATTTTATTAATGGGTGTGACATTTGTAATGTCTCTCTCTTTAAATTCAAATACCGCTGTTTTTATAGCTAGTCATAAGTGAGTCTGTCTGTTTTTTAAAAAAAATCCATCTAGTTACTAGGCTGCTTGCATCCAGCTGAGCCCTGGAAACGGCAGAGAGCTAGTCCCTGAGATCTGAGAGCAGGCTGGAATTTCCAGAAAGTGGTTGGATCCATAATTAGGGTACTTTTGCATGTTTAAATGCACAATTCTGCAATGTACTTTGCTGTTTGCTCCTCTCCGGGGCTGGGGTGAGTGTGCACAAACTTCCTTTGACAAGCTAAATCAGTGAAACCTCTTCAAGGTCCAATGAAGGTCAGAGCCGAGAATTTTTTCCTCTCCTGGTCACCAGGCAGGCAGGGACCACTGTGCTCCAGCCTGGAGCGTTTGGGTGGAGCCAGCGCCAAGGACCTGGTGGCATTTCAAATCCCTCGCAGCAGTTAGGTGTTAGATGCAAAAGATCAGTGCTGCTCCACTTGAAGTCAGAGAAATAACTTGAGCTTAAAGTTCAGCATATACACAGAGGTTTCCTGGATCTGGAGTTAATTTGTTTTTTCCAAGGTCAGCCTGAAGGCAGCATCCAAACTGGAAAAAAAAAGTTAAAAACTGAATGTTTGACTTCTAATAATTTAATTTTATTTCCCATTTTGTTTAACCTCTCCTATAGGCTTTTGTTTTCCTGACGTATCAAGTTAAGCTATTTAGGTTTTTATTTAATGTTTATTTTTACCCCATTTAATAGACTCAAGTCAGGACTGGGGGCCAATCAGGCTGCATGCCTTTCTCTCTATTCCAAATCTTTGCATTTTGCAACTTTCTTTGATGCAGGATATTTATATTCCACCTTTTTTTTTCCTAGTAGAGAAGCTTTCACGGAGTATAGGCTTTGGATATATATTTTCTGCTCTAGCTGCTCATTAGATATACAGCATTTGGAGTTCCAGTTGTGCTGAGAAATGTAAGCAAAGCTTTTGGCCCAGTGGGGGCTAAGCTCTGGCATTTCATAGCTTTGTACATATGAATCAGGATTAAGGTGCAGGATCTATATAAAATTTAGCTCATTAGGAGATGTTTCGTCTTACGGCTCCCACTGGGAAGGTGGGTCCTTTGCTTACACACAGTATTCCTCACTCTGCTTTCCTGCTCCCTGGGAAAGGAGGGGGGTGAGCAGCCCCCTGCAGAGTAGGTACAGCAGTTCTTGTGCAGGGGACACAAAGCAGCAGCAGGGTATTCCTCTCCCTTTCACCATTACCCTGCACACCTGGAAAAAGACTTGGCGCACGCTGGCCTCGGTATTTTATACTAAAGCAAACACAGTCGAACACAGTGCTGGGGTCATACTCAGGATGACTTACCAGAGTTGAGAGAACAAGGAGTGCCCCTGAAAACAGACAGATAGGACTTCTCTCACAAATGTGATTTGTGTTGTACCAGATTTAAGGTGCTGAAGGCCAGAAAGGTTTCAGAAAATGTGGGATTTTTCAGCCTCACACCCCACCTGGCTTCCCAGCGGGCCACGTTCCCGTTGGGCACATAGCTCAAGTGTATTCAGTGGATGACCATGTCCATGCACTTCAGCCAGTGAAGCTTTACTACAGAGAAATTATGGATTTGGAAGGGAGTTTCATCAGTCATAATTTCCAAGGAAGAGCGTTCACAGTAGGGAATACCAAGTTGATGTTGCCTCCTCAAGGACTTTCAGCTGTCACACAGGGAATACAGTGAGTGCAGTGATGAGAATTAGATTAGAAGAAGATCAATAGGGCTGGCAATAAATGAAAGTAACACAGACATTATTGAGCAAATTAGGAGAGAGAAATTAAACTGGACAGTATAATCTTCAATACCAGCTAGACACACTACTGTTGGGCAAAATTAGGGAGACAGCAGTAAGTTAGAAAGTGCTATGATGAAGAGGCATTAACAGTCTGTGAGATGGGGAAAGCCCTGCTTGTGATGGAAAGCTCTCAGCCCACAGAAAGGTGGAAAAGGGTGATAATGGTCCAGGAGCACATGGATTTAAGTGGTGGGCTACAGAGAGGTAACAGTGGGGAGATCACCTAAGACTGGGAACATGGAGCAGGCAGCAGCACTGGCTGAATGTTACAGGGAAAGGGAACCTCAGATGCACCCCACCATCACGAAGGCTTTGGTGGCATAGCTTGTTCCAGGCAGAAAATTTTCCTGACCTTCTAACAGTACAGGTTGGTTTGCCATGTGAAGTCTTGTAGGCCTTCCAGAAACACTCCTCTGTGTAAACTTGATTATTTGCCATAATAACTTCCCTGTATTTTGCTGTCTGTACAGATATCCACTGATGATCAAGTCAGGCAAGCTTTTGGGGTGAGGGATATCCGGTGGCAATGAGATCCATGGGCTGACTGCACTCAGCATGAAAAGAAGCTTTCCTTTTATCAGTCTTGAGTTTGTCTAGATACTCTTACATGTCTTTGAAAGGTTCACCCCAAGGCAATATAATTGTGTTTGATCACATACAGGCATTGAGTCAGTGATTGATATGAATAAAGAACTTAGTGTTGCTCGTCCCGGTTCCATGTCTTCTTCCCTGTGGAATCAGAAATCACTTTTATAAATATATCGGTCCATCTGTGCTTCTAGCTATCCATTTCAAGTATATGTTCCAAAAAAGAAATAGTAACACTTTATAAGTGCAAATAAAAACACATTAAAAGGACTGAGCAAGGGGTTTTTCTTCCTCATAAAGTGCATGTGGATCCCTTCCAAAAGAGTTACTGTGAGCCATGTAACTTGTAATTAATTCTGCTATAAATGTCAGAACACTTACTTTGCAGGTCTAAGCTGACCCACTAAAATTAGTCCCCTTTTAACAATTCCTTTTATAATTTGTTTTTCAGCAGAAACGACGGCTTGACCTCCTGACAATAACCAGCCCCGGTAAGTGAGCTCTGCCGCCCAGCTCTCTTCTCTTTTCTTAAAGAGATGGTTGTCTAAATGTGTTTTTCCCCCGTCTCTGACATGCAAAATGAAAAACACTGTTCCCCAGAAAATCTTTCACCTAATAACAAGTGACAGCTATATTGTGCTCGGCAAAGCCCCGGGCAGTTATCCGTTCACAGAGCTGCCTCTTCAGACCTTTACTCTATGAATTGGAGTGCTGATATTTCTTTAAGCCTCCTGGGGTTACAGTTAGTGGTATATCTGCAGGGCAGATGCCCTCAAATTCACAGTGTGTGTTCAAGTATCACGGAAATGCAAGCTTGGTGGCAAACGTGAGCGGTTTGGGGAGTAAGGAGATGGTGGCCCTCTATGAGCGTGGTGGGAGGCAGGAGGCCCAGGCTCAGGGCTGAGAACCCCAAAGTGGATCTGAAAATATTTAGGTAAAAGGAAAATGCTTCGTGGTGGCTTTTGTAGTTTGCCTCTTGAGGAGATAAACCAAAATGTGTTATATTGGGCAAGTGTTGGGCTCTTTGGCATTGTGAGTTTTGAAATCTCAGCACCGTGGCTGAGATGCAGGTTGGTTCAGTAGTGCCCCTCTGTGATCTCAGCTCTTCAGGCTGGGTGGCTTTTCGTTTATTGCTGTTTGTCTGGCTCACTTTCTTTCCATTAGCTGCTGCAGAAGTTTGCTGCCCACCAGGTTCAGATGTACACCCTGCTCAAAGAGTGCCACATTTCGGTTAACTTTTTCAGTTTTTCAGCTGTGTGTATGTATTAAGCTCTCAGGTTGGCTTTAACTGGGACTAATGAGTTCTGGCTTTAACTGGGAACAATGTGTTAGCGAAGTGAACAGGTGTTATGGGAAGTGAACAAAATGTGACACACATTTGCTTGGATAACAATTTTGCATCGATAATTGTTCTGACACTCTGAATGTAGATATAATCTGTGACATGGTTTCTCCTTCACTAACCTTGTAAAAGTAATAAGAATTAAAATAAGGAGGAGGAACACTTTGTTGGGACAGATGTTTGAGGCTATTGGCAATTGCATCACATTTTTGCATGTTCACTTTTCATGCAGTTTGCAATTATGTTAATGTATGCTCAGGGCACTTGCTGATAAAAGCAACAATACAGTGTGATACAGCCATTGTCACTATTCTGACTGTAACTTCAAGGACAAACATGGCACATTTTTCATTTTCCATATCTTCAGCATTCCTTGTTTCTAGAGGAAAAAGAAAAAAAATCTCTAAAGGTCTTAATCACAAGACACACTCAGATCTTGGATAAGGGCACCAAAGTCCGCAGTCACTTTTTTCAATAAGAGAAAAAGAGGGTTGAGGAGCAGAATAACTTAATGTGAGNTTATGATACCTTCTTCATCATTTTCAGATGAATCACTGGAACAGTGAAAGAGTTGACTAGGTTGAGTTTGTGCATAGATGTGGTCACAGTAAGCAGCTATAGCTTCATATCTCTCACTTTAATATAGCAATCTACTCAGTCAACACAGCAATTAGTTGGAAGGTCTTCAATAACTGTAGGTAGACATGCTGCACTAAAAGGGGGGAAAAAGCTTTCCATAACATGTATTTTTTCTGGAATGCCAGTTTTACCGTTTTATATTTAACCAGAAATCTACAATATTGGGTACATAGGAAAAAAAATAATATTTGTTCCATGATTACATAATTGAGTGCATATAGTTTTGCTTTCAATAGAGGCATTTTCAAAAGAAGCTTGGTGCTGGATCAGGCCAAACTTACCAAAGAGCCTAAAGCTGAGATTTTTCAAAGAGGCTGAAAAAGTTAGGCACTTAATTCCTAGTAGGATTGGAAAATGTCAGCCTGTGGATTAAAGGGTCTAGTTTCAGCCCTACAAATACAAAAATAAAATAAAATAAATCATAGCCTTAGGGCTTTTATCTGTCTTTGGAGACTGCTACTTTAAAATATTTCATTCTTTGAGTACTAGCTCTAAGATCTGACACTGACAGTCTGCTTTTACAAACTCTTGATATCGGTTATGATGGCTGAGATCGGCCTTAATCACTGTCATTCCTTAATTTACTGATTCAAATGAGGGACTGGGCTATTTGGTTGCACCTGTTAATCCTCTGGGACTTGCTTCTGTTCTCCACCTTGCCGCAGGCAGGCAGCCTTTGCTCCTGGTGGAGGTCACTCAGCCTTACTTAAAGTGGGAAAGTCCTCTGTGTCTCACAAGCAATATAGGCTACCAAAACCCTATTGCTTGATTGTAAGAAAAGACAAAGAACTTCAAAAGCAAAGGCGACCTCTGTGATTTGCACCTCTGTCATGATGAATATCATCTTTCTTTTTTGTGTGTGCGCGTGAAACTCTTGGACCAGATTTTGTACGTTTAGTCGGGAATTGATGGTGATGCCTTGCAAGTATTACAACAGCTCTTCTCCATGTGCCACTAAAACTATTTCCGAAAATCGATCAGCCAGTTAATGACACTAATTGCAAGATAAAATAATGCCTTTAATGTCAATTAAGGAGTGTTGAGACACAAGCGCCAAAACGTTCAAAAGTGAGTTTGTGGGATTACAGAAACCTACATCATCTCATGGCAGCCACACTGTTCCCCATGGACGTGGCTGTTGCACTGTTCCCCAGGAATCAGTGATGGGCCAGAAGCAGTGCCCATTCCTTGTTCCCTGAATTTCCCCCCGCCCATGCTGTGCTGAACCCACAGTGTGAGGGTGACCCACCACTGCCTCCTGCCTTGCTCCAGATGATTTCCAAACCCTGATCAATGCGTGTGTGGCCTTGTGAAACCTTGCTGAACAGTGCTGGACTTAAAAGCACATTTATATGTTAAACTGAACAGGTATAGATCATTAATGTGTAATCTGGACTGAGAGAAGTCTGGAAAAAAGGCGGGGGGGGGAAGAAAAAGGAAGAAGTACAGATGCAGCTCCAACTACACAGTTTGTATGCAACATGCAGGGCTGACCTCTTCCAGCACCCCTAAGAGAACAGCTACAGGAAGCTCCACACCGTGCCCCAAACTGGAGGAAGTCTTTGCTTTGCTTTGGATCTCCAGAAACAGCCAGACACAAATGATGCATAAGCTGGGAGCGAGCCAGACTCCCTCGTGCTCAAACACATTCCTTTGAAGTACCTGACACCCCTGTAAAACGTGGAGGGGAGTTCACTGCTCTGCCTTACTGCTGAGTAGCTGGAGGAATGTTAAGTTAAATTTATCAGTGCTCTCGCCACACTCCTTTCTTCTTGCCCCTTGACACGTGAGGTACAATTAGAGTGCAGCGCTGGCACAGCTCGGGGTGCCGGAGTCAGCGCTGATGTGCGCGGTGGGGTGGGGGAAAGACGTTAAAAATTCATTAGGAGCTGGCAGGGCCGTGCTGGCGGGGAGTGGGGCATAATGAGATTTAAGTTTTGGTAATTTAGATTTTCTTTAAACTTAGTTTTACCTCTGAATTTGATCCAAAACATTTCCTTAGTGCTATTCTAATTGTCTTCGGGCTTCAGGAGCAAAGCTTCAGGTGGTTTAATTCGGCCTTGTTGCATAAAGAAGATGAGGATCTGCCCTTAGTTTCTGCGTGATCATGTTCTAGTAGCACTTTGAACATGCACATACAATCACATCACATTTTTTTGGTAACTGCTCAATAGTTGCAAATAAGATATCCCTGTTTCCATAGCTTTTCCATGGAGACAAAGCTTTCTGCATCTCCTGTGTTTATGATAATAACACAGCTTTCCAATTTCTCCTCTCAGTAAGGTAAGTTCCTCTCCCACTGAAGTGTTTTTTAATTATTGATACCATAAATGGAAGTGTGTTGGAAACTATTGGCTTTGAAAATAGCTAACATGTGATATTATCCAAGAACCATCAGGAAAATTCTTTTGAAATTCTCTTTGATTCAGCCATCCTCAGGGCTTTATCCTTCTCTACCAGTTTCTCTACTGCCAATTTAAAATAACATTCTCTTGAAATCAGTGCAATGTCAGGAGAAATTCATCAGCACTGTAGGTGCATGTTTCCCAGATGTGTATAAACCTACTACATTTGGCAGCAGTAAATTGATTGCATTTAAAAAACCTAGGGTAGCTGAATATGCCGTAGTGCCCAGCTTGGCTACAGCATGGAATACAAAGCAATTTTTTTTAAGTTTCTTTCAGCTCTGTTTTAGGTGCCACAAAGTAAGCGCTGACTCCATAATTCCTGCCTTTTGATTTACTCAGATTTTCCTGATGTGTAAACCACATCAGAGGTTTGCATGCAGGGACAGAATGAGATATTCCTTATCTCTGTGGAGATTTGATAAGAAATGTTAATGACTCGTGTGTGCTTCCCCCTAATATTCGAGATCTTACACTTTTAAACAGGGAAAAAAAGCTTGATTTTAAAAGTATTTATCAGTCTGATCTATGTGGTGAAATAGTCTGCCCCCTTTAATATCATCAGTGCTGCATGCTCTAAAAATGTCTCCATTTCATTAATTTGTGATATACTGCTACCCTGAATTCTTTTAAGGTGGCTTTAGCTTCTGCCATACATATTTTACTGCTTTAAATTATAGATATAGGACTGTTGCCTGGTTAATTTCCTCTGGTTAGGAAAATATATTTCTGCTCTCCTGGCATTGCATAAAGTGATATGTGGGATTTGCTATATTTTTTAGCTGATTAAGTTTTGCATTTCTACATATTACTGCTTATGAGACCTCAAGTGAAACTACGTAAAGGAAGGAGAAGTTTTATAGTATATTTCAAAGTTTCATTTAACTATAAATTCCACCACTAAGCCCCGCTACAAGACTTTTCCATTACCTTCCTGGATAGTCTGGCTATCAACTTCTTTCTAATTGAAGCATGAAAATAATATGAACTCAAAGTCACGAAGCTATAAGCCAGGTATTAGTAGAAATGATACTCACTAATAAAATGTGACAGAAAGTTGTTTGTGGCCAAAACTCGGGGTTTTTTGCTAGCCCTTTTTAATTAA